CGGCGAGGTGAAGATCGAGAATCCGCACTGGCCAGAGATCGTGAGTAAGAAGGACGAGATCGCGCGCCGTCCTCGGCAGCCGCCCCCTGCCCTTCCATCTCTGGTGCTCTGCCAGACCCCTCCCAGAGGGGGGCCCTCTCCCCCGCCACGCCCCCGCCGCCCCTCCTGGAGGGGATGGCGATAGAAACTGGTTCGTATCCGTTCTGTCGTGCGTTGTTTGCGTTGAAAAGCATGTCGGCGCATTGCTTGTTTATGATCCCTACCAAGGCAAATGCTGGTCAAGTATCAGAAGGAGCTGAAGTTCCTAAAGCACACGAAGAATCAGTTGCTCGCGAAGGCTGGGGATCAGGATCAGAAGGACCGTCAGAGCTTCCAGAACTGGGCCGATGAGCGCAAGAAGTGCGTGGACAATGCGGACCAGCACGAGACGGCGATGGAGGTTCTGATTGCGAAAATTGAGGGCGCTGATTCTGTCGGCAAGGACACGGACATGTACGATAAGCTGAAGAATGAGGTCCAGGCCGCCTACAACACACACGAGCACATGCACGAGGGCATTCAGCTCTCGGTCAAGCGCTTCAAGAAGTTCCTCAATTGAGCTGCGGCCCTACATCTACATCTACATATCAGTATTTACATGCATATATGCAGTAGGGTTTGAGATGCTCTGCCTCGCCCGACGACGCGCATGCAGCGCTGCCTTTCCGACGCCCGTGGGAAAACGAGAACTTGCCGCTTCCTCTGCCAGGGGTGCCCCTTCGTGAGGGGCCGCGTGTTTCTGGGTTTGCCAGTAAAGAAGCCCCCCTCATCGCAGGGGCGCGGGGGGAGGGGGGGGCGGGGGGGAGGGGGGCTTGGTATCATCAGGAGGGGAGTAGCAGGAGGGGAGGGGCATGAAAGGGATTGAAGGAGGGCGCGGAGGAGGGGCGCGGGAAAGGGCAAGGGCCCCTTGCCTCGGCCGCGCATGTCCGTAGCCACTGCAGTGGCTCAAGGCCGCCGCGCTCGCGCCTGTCTCCCGCGGGCCCCGCGGGATGCTTTCCAGGCGGCGGTTGCCTTATGACAGGTTGGGCTTGCCGCCGGAGAGGCGGCTGAGAGCGAACGTGCAGGACCTGATAAGCAGCAACGTGGTCAGCGGGCAGCGCGGCGCTCAGCTGATCAATGACTGCGTCTCTGCATCTGCGACAGGTCTCTCCGACCTGCACACTACGGAGTCAACGTCGGGCATGAAAAACGCTGCCAGGAAGTTCAGGCGGGATTTCTTCAGGAAAGGGTGGCCTCCGCTCTATCACTGCCAGGTGAGGGGCTGGGACCCCAAGTCTGAAACAGAACAACTGATGGACTTAGCGATGATGCTTCCTCACGAAATACTTCATCAACTTCATCATTTTGGCGAGCGGAGCGTGCTACTGGAGACGTCGAGTCTCGACGGCGTGTCTCTGCGCCACGTGCAAAGAGCCAGGGCGGAGAGTGGTTGCAACGACCTGGTGGCCCTGGGCGCGTGGCAGGACGGGGTCCCTTGCTTTTGGGACCGATCGATGAGCGCAGAGATCATCAGCCTCATGTTGCCAGGGGCTGCGGGGCGCTGGAAAAACCTGCGGGTCCCAATCACAGCGTTCCTCAAAGAGCACGTGGGCCCCAACACATTTGATGATGTTTTTGCAGTGGTGCAGTGGAGCTTTGTTCACTTGGCTGCGAAGCGCTGGCCGGCGGCACGGCACGACGGCTCTCCCTTCGGCGCGCAGGACGCCTGGAGGAAGCGCCGACAAGTGGCCGATGCAACCCTACCAATTGGCGGAGTGCTTTGCCAGATCAAAGGGGACTGGAAGATGATGAAGGAGGTGCTCAAGCTACCTGGCTGGCAAGATGACGAAGTATGCTTCCTGTGCAACATCAAGAAGGACGAGGCCATGGGAGCGCAACACATCAGGGGAGGAAGGAAATCCCCTCTGGGAGGGGGTGCGTCGTCGTCGTTTTGCGGCCCCTTCCAGGGGGGGTGGAGGAGGAGGGGGAGGAGGGGTGGAGGAGGAGGAGGAGGAGGAGGAGGAGGAGTGTTTTTGGCTACTCCCCGCAGGTGAAATCGCAGACTGGGAGAGACGCGCCGTGGAGAACGCACCGACGCACATGGCCAGAAGTCCTTGCGAAGATTATCGTTTCAGGCGAGCAGGTGTGCCCTCTCTTCCAAGTGCCGTATGCGAACGAAAAGTTGCTGAAGCTAGATTGGTTACACGTTGTTGATCTTGGAGTAGCGGCTGACTTCATAGGGGGTTTGCTATGGTATCTTGTAACGCACAAAAAGGTGGCTGGAACTACCCAGAAAGGCCGCGTCTCCACACTACATGGTCATTTGATGGCGTTCTACGACAGGCAGCCGCCAGGTGAGAAGACCAGCCGCCTATCGAGACTGACGCGGGGCGTTGTGAAAGGAAAAAAAGCAACGACGGCTAAGATGAGGTGCGGCGCGGGGATGCTCAGGCACATGGTTCCATGGGCATTGGAGATGGCGGAGGCTTTCCTTGATAGGAGGAATGGCGTCGACGAGCGGGCAGCTGTAGAATCGTCCATTCACGCAGGGATGAAAAGCTTATGTCGGTGTTACGAGGCACTCTCTGACAATCACCCATTTGCTGTGGACACTCTTAGAGAGCATTCGAGTAAGTTTGCCACGCAGACGGCCGCTTTGCAAGACGCGCTTCCTGCCCATTTTAAAGTGAAGCCTAAAATGCACATGTTTCTGGAGCTGTGCATGGGCGGCGGTGAACCAGCGAAGCACTGGAACTATAGGGATGAGGATTTCGGTGGATCTGTAGCTGCATTTGGCCGAAGGAGGGGCCAAAGGAGGTCCATGAGAGCGTTTTCGGTGGCATGCATCTCTAAGTTCTGCGGCCAGCCGATTGTGCGCATGCTTTGAAAAGAACGCTTCTGTGTGTATCGTTGTCATTCATTGCTGTCGGCTCAAATATATGTTGGACCCCTCCCAGTGGGGTGAGCGCGAGCATGGGCGCTGAAGCCCCGTTTGCCCCAAAACGGCGGGTCGAACTATTTTCGGCGCGCCCGAACTATAGATCGACCCGCAGAAAAGTATAACCCCCGCATTATAGTTCGACCCCGCACTATAGATCGACCTTGGAGTCTCAAGGAGGCGCCCGGATGCCCGGGCCGCCCAAGAGCCCTGACGCCCGGGGGGCCCGGACGCACGGGGCGCCCGGCGCCCGGATGCCCGGGCGGCCCGGACGCCCGGGCGCCCAGCCGCCTGCGGACGCCGCGGCCGCCCGGGCGCCCTGGACGCCCGGACGCCGGGATGCCCGCCCGGACGGCGCCCAGCTGCCGCCCAGCCGCCCGGACGCCGGGGCCGCCCGGGCCGCCGGGCCGCCCAGAGCGCCCGGCGCCCGAACGCCCGGGCAGCCCAGCCGCCGGGGCGCCCCGGACGCCCGGACGCCGGGATGCCCAGACGGCGCCCAGCCGTCCAGCCGCCCGGAGCCCGGCCGCCCGGGCCGCCCGGACGCCCAGAGGGTCCGGCGCTCGAACGCCCGGGCGCCGGGGCGCCCAGCCGCCCGGACGCCGCGCCGCCGGGCGCCCCAGGACGCCCGGACGCCGCGGCCGCCCAGGCGCCCCAGACGCCCGGACGCAGGATGCCCGGGCGGCGCCCAGCCGCCCACCGCTCGGACGCCTGGGCTGCCCAGGCCGCCCGGACGCCCAGAGCGCCCGGCGCCCGAACGCCGGGGCGGCCCAGACGCCCCGGCGCCCAGCCGCCCGGACGCCGCGGCCGCACGGGCGCCCGCCAGCCGCCTGGACGCGCCGGGCGCCCAGCCGCCCGGACGCCGGGCCCGGCACGCCGGGGCGCCGGACGCACGGAGCGCCCGGCGCCCGGATGCCCGGGCGGCCCGGACGCTGGGCGCCCGGACGCCGCGGCCGCTCGGGCGCCCCGGACGCCTGGAGGGGATGCTCGGACGGCGCCCAGCGAAACAGCCGCCCGGACGCCCGGGCCGCCAGGGCCGCCCGGCGGACGCCCAGAGCGCCCGGCGCCCGAACGCCGGAGGGCCCAGAGGCGGGCGCCCAGCCGCTCGGACGTCGCGGCCGCCCGGGCGCCCCGGACGCCCGGGCGCCCAGCCGCCCGACGCCGCTCGGGCGCCCCGGGCGCCCGGGTGCCGGGATGCCCGGACAGCGCCCAGCCGCCCAGCCGCCCAGACGCCCGGGCCGCCCGGGCCGCCCGGACGCCCAGAGGGTCCGGCGCCCGAACGCCCGGGCGGCCCGGACGCCCGGGCGCCCAGCCGCCCGGACGCCCGCGGGCCGCCCGGGCGCCCGGACAGCGTCAGGCGGAATTGTGGTATTGTGTCGACCACCAGGTGCGCCTCGCTGAGGGGGCTCAACGACCCGACGCGCCCGAGCTCCGCCAGGAAGGAGAGCAGGAGGGCGTGGTCCTCCGTGTCCAGGAGGGCAGGAGGGTGCGGTCCTCCGCGTTCGCTTTCAGGGTGTGGTCCTCCACGTCACTTGAGCAGCCGAATCAGCCTTTCAGCGTGAATGACCGTGCGCCTCGCCTTGCTTGCAGATCCATTCGCACAGGCCACGGCCCGAATGAATACAACGCTGAAGAGATCATCGACGCACCGACGCAGCAGAACAACAAGATCATACACAGTTCCACATCTCAGGCTTGACGTAGATGTGCGCGCTTGTGGCGCCACTGCCGCACAACCACACCAACGCTGAACATCTTCGCGGTGGCGGAAGGCCAGGCTCGCGGAGCGAAGCTCCTCTGACCACGCTCGTCCTCGCCTGTCTCGGGCGAGCCGAAGAGGAGGGGCCGGGAAGGAGGGGGCTCACCGCATCCTGGTCCAGGCCACGTTCGCAGACAAGAGGCACGTTCGCACGTGTGAGTGGAGAAGAGGGGGGCCAACGAAGCCTTGGAGACCCCATCGTCCGGCCCACGATACCTCCCACCTCCTAGCCCCCACCCCCCTTTTGGACGCCCCCGACTGCCGGGCCCACCACCCCCCGCGCCCCTCCAGCAGCATCCCCATGCACGACATCCCGAGGCTGGCCGCGGCCTTCTGAACGAACACCTGCCGGCGAGCGGGCGCGTGCCGCAAAGGACCACAGCGACGTTCCTGCTATCTGCAGCGTCGCCTCGGGTGAGCGGGCGGGCATCTCGAGCGGCATCCCTCTTGCTAGGCGCGGTTTCATCCACAAGCGCCGCCTGGGGATCGATCTCTGGGGGCCCGACAAGCGGTGGATATGCACACATTCGGGCCCTCGGGTGGCCAAACTGATCCATATCCACCGCCTGCCGAGGTCCCCAGATATCGATCCGCCCAAGCTGTGTGATTTCAGCGAATTCCCACCTCAGAACCCTACCGTGGTCCAGAACTGAACAACGTCAGATCAACGAGCTCATGGGAATGTTTACATTCAATATGTTCGGCTCCCAATGATGGAGCGGTGGTGCAACACGGAAGGGCGACAGCTTGACGGAAAGAGAAAGATGATGTCGCCGACGCGCAGAAACATATAACTCTGAGGGGAACGAGGAAGTGGGCAGAAACGATCATCACTCAGAATGCAGTCAACCCGTATAGTAAGGATGCGCGATGAGGACACAAGGACTTTGGAAGGCCACGTCGAGACTTTGCGAGCGGGGCTCGGCCAGCGGATGCGGCCAAGGATGGGCCGAAAGGGAGGGGATGCAAGGGTCACCTTGGAAAGTCGCTCATACTTGCTATGCGGGTTGACTGTGGTGGGGATGTAATTGCAGCAAAAACTACCCCCAGAAGCCCACGGAAGTGGCGTGAGCAGCCGCGGGGCCCGGCGACCTCGAGGAACTCTGGATCATACTGACCATGCGACCCCGGGACGCGTCGCCGCGCCGTTTGTGCTCAATGCGCCCAAAATGGACGACGCCGACACGGCAAACCCACGGCAAGCCTTGCGCCCCGCACCCGAGTAGATGACGCCGGCACGGCGGCAAACCAACGGCGGACCCACCGCGCTCGAGGCGGCGTTCGCCCTGATGGCCGAGGCGTCCTCCCCAAGACGTAAGGCCGCGCGTCGCAACAAAACGGCGCGGCGACATGTGCAGCGTGGGAACCTGGAGGGACGCGGAAGTGGCCACAGGGACATCTGGCCGAACCCCTGGAGTTCCTGAAGGGCTGCAAGATTCGGCGCGACGAGAACCCGCGCAGACGCCCGCCTTTGGGGCTGAGAGCACGGGCTTCCCGCGAGTGCTCCAGAGGACGATGTCCCAAAGAGGACCGAAGCCTCGAAGCACTGCCGCCTGTTGGGCTGAGAGCACGGGCCTCCTGGAGCGCATTTTTAGATTCGCGGCCATAACGGGCGTAATGGACGGGGATGGGGGGGGACGGGAGGGGGCGTAACGTAGCGCCCCCCGCCCCCCCCCAGACTGTGGTGCCGGACGCACTGCGGCAGTGCCAGGGACGCACTGAGGGGGGGGGGGAGCGCTACGTTATTGGGGGGAAGGGACGGGAGGGGGGAGGGGGGGGGGCATAACGCGCGTGATGGCCCAGAGGTGAAGAAAACGCTATCCTGCGAGGTTCCGAGGAGGACCGCAGCCTCGAGGCAGAAGGAGACGAGGCCTAGCCGCCGCTCCTCTGGTGCCTAGCTTCTGCCGCGCGCGGCGCACGTACGGGGCGCGGCGGGGCCTCGCCGTGCCCAGACACGGAGGGCTGGCGAGGAGCCCTGGAGGTGCGGTGACAGGCCCGTGCGGTGAGCTCGAGACCCCAGGCGACCTCACCGGCGGGGTGCGGCACCGCACCGACGGGGGACGCGGAGGTCCAGTGAAGGGACAAACGGTGGAGCCCCTTCGTTATCGAGCCCGCGTTCGCCCCCCCACCCGCCCCCTTCCCCCCAGACTCAAAGTTGGCGTCCGGCCTGCAGAAGGCGCTGTGGGTTCCACTTTTCCTTTCGAGCCTGTGCTCCCGAATGCCCAGGGTCAACTTTGAGTATACGGGGGAAAGGGGGGGCGCAGCCAAGGGTTCTGCTTTCTTGTCTATCTTCGGTCCCAGTCACCCGAGACGTCCTCAGAGAGAGACCCAAGCCCCCGGAAGCCGTGCGCTCGCCCGATGATTCCCACTGATTCGCCAGACGGAGTGGTCACTGCGCCGTTGTTTGGGCTCCCGAAGGAACAATTATGGTGATTCTTCGGGTGGCCTGCTCTGTCTCATCGCGCCACCATCCGCGTCGAATCCACGTCAAAAATATGTCAACCATTGGATCCGCGTCGAATCTACGTCGAATCCGCGTCGAAGACTCATCAAATCCGCGTCGACTACGAGGCAAACCCGCGTCGGATACAACAGAAAGACTGCCACTTACAGGAGAGACATTAGAGCCCTCTTACATAGGGTACAAGTAGATACGGTCGGAGACCGCGCTGAACCGCCAATGTATCGCCGATGCGCGATGCACCAGCGACGCTGGCGATGCATCGACGTCGGCGTGGAGAAACTTGAACTCCACATCGAGCCGCATCGCAGATGAATCGGCGATGCGGCGCGATCCTCCGACACCGTCTACTCTGGCTCCATTTGTCGGGCACACGCTAACACGGATTACCGATCCGTGGATATGGTGCGTGTGCGCCACATCCACGGATCGGGGAAGGGATCGGGGAAGGGAGCCCACGAAACATGGCGCCAATGCCGTCTGATTTGGAGACGGAGCGCGGACTATTCGGTGGGCCTGTTGAGGCCAGCTGAGACTGCCTGGTTCGTCGTCGTCGTCCTCGTCGTCGTCGTCGCCGTCGTCGTCAACGTCGCCGTTGTTGTCGCCGTCGTGATCGTCGTCGTCGTAGTCGTCCTCGTCGTCGTCCTCGTCGTCCTCGTCGACGTCGTCGTCCTCGTCGATGTCGTCGTCATCTTTGTCTGCGTGCAACGCGAAGCCTTCCCGAAAAGCCAGGGCGGGGGGGCGGCAGGAGGCTGGCGGAGAGCAGGGCTGGGCCCGGCGCACGAGCCAGCATTCCTCCGCGCGGGGCGCCGCGGCACACGGCCACCGCAGAGCACGGGCCCGCGCGGGCCTCGCGCGGGCGCGGGGCCCGCGGGAGCCAGTGAGAATCATCAGCGTGAGTCGATCGGGAGGTGTGCAGACACAGGAGCGTTCCAGCGAGTCTGCTGCGTCTCTCCACCCAGGGCGTTTCGGCCCGAGGCATGGGGGAGCTCGGGCGCCAGCTGGACGTCTCAAGAGCCCACGGGCGGGCGCTGGGACATACACGTACCATCGCCTTTGGAACAACACATCGTGCGCCCGCCGTATCACCAGGGGTGGAAATACCGAAGAAGTGAATCATAATAATCACTGATTTGGGAGAGGCTCGAAGTATACCCAGAGTCGTCTGGTCGGCCGAGAAGCAAATTGCATGGACGCCCCAGCTTCTCAACCGACGGGATGCTGGAGCGTCTACACATCGAATTCCTTCGCCGAGCTCCTCGGCTCCTTGGCCGACCAAACGACGTGATGTATACCTCGAGCCCCTCCGAGAAGTGCATCCAATAATCAATCAACAAACGGGTCGGGAAGCACGAGAAACTCCAGCGGCGCTGGCCATGGCCTTGCGCATGCGAGCCTTGAGCCCGACCGCTTCACTTTGGACGCAGGCCTGCGAGGTCGACAAGGATGACTGGCAGGTTCATGCTACAACCCCATTCACGGAAACCTCAGTGCTTCGTCGAAGAGTTCTGAACTAGCAGTGCGCCAGACATCTCGACATCGCTCGGACGTCCATTCCCCGTGCAAGTTTCGGCTGCGTGTGCGTAGCTTTCCGCGAGATGACCCAAGGGGCTCCTCGATGGCCCTCGCCGAGAAAAGATGCATGCGTCCGAGCGATGCCAAGACATGAGCTCGGCAGCACTCGCCAACTTGCGGGTGGACGTGTTGCGAGACGTTGCCCCACCTCTGCGCCAGACCGTGCCTGACACTGCGCGGCAAGGGGACGGAAGGGCAGCCACAGGACGAGGAGCAGACGGAGGGACGGCAGGAGGAGAAGGAGCAGTAGGCGGATGGGCGTCAGGCAAGCAACGACAAGAACTTCGGCCTGCCAACAAGAAATTTCGAATCCCTGGATGGCCCTGCGGGCCCACAGAAGCTCCGGTGCGCCTCAGGACCGTCAAAGATCGGTGAAGAATGTGGCCCGAGATGCCTTCTAGCAGAATGTGTTATTGCATGTGTCTGCTGTATGTCTCACGGTACCCCGGAGCAGCGGCCATGACACGCGCCATGCGGGGCGCCACGAGGGGGGGGGGGGGCGTGCCGCGGCCTGGAACCACTGCTTGGTGAGCCCCTGCCTCGTCTTGACGCCGAAGTCCAGCTGCAGCTGGATCACGTCCTGCCATCCCTCCCTCTCAGGTGCTCTCTAGAGGCACGGAAGAGGGGGCAGGATGAGACAGGCGGCGTTCTGAGCAGAAAGCCTGCCTTCTAGAAGCCTTCCAGCTTTCTCAGATGCCTCCTCCGAGATCTCCACGAAAGGGCCGATCCTTCCTCATTAAGAACACCCTCGCAATCTTAGAATACTGCCCCAAGCACACCGCCCCCTCTTGCACCAACGAGAGCTGCCCTTCGCCCGCCCTTCCCGTTCTTCCGCCTTTTCGCGCAACTCTAAAAAAACTGCCTGCCGTGAATGGTGGTTCTCTGTGGGCGGTGTCTCCGTGTTGGTCGAAGGCTGCTGGCGTTGTCTGGTGTAGTCGTGGGAAACTGATGTCGTGGATTGTGATGTGCGTGGTGGTCGCGGTGCACTAATTGGTTTAAAAGCCAGTGGTTATGTTTGTCGCGATTCGAGCGTATTTGGCTCAGTGGGTGGGTGCGATCATGGTTGGTCTCGGATGCTGCGCGCTGCTCCTGCCCAGGAGTTGTGTCAGCAATTGAGGCCCGAACCCGGTGTTGATGCGCCACAAATGCGCCACGCCAGCGTCACCCACTGGCCGTCGGAGCCCCCCGCACCGCGCGGCGAATCCGAGGCTCGCTTCTCCGTCGCGCCGAGCACGGCCGTCTGCCGAGCAGTTCCGCCGACGACAAGGGCCGTTTGCACGGCGGCCTCCCCAGACATCCGACGACATGATTCTTTCAATGCGCGGCCCCAAAGGTCCAAACCCTTTCCTTGGGGCAAATTTTCCGCCCCGTAGCACGGGGGAAACGGGTCCTGAGGGAAACGGGTCCTGGACCTGGGGGCCTTCCCCCCGGGAGCAATTCTTCAGGCTGAATCGTTCTCTGACAGTCCTGGGGCCCGTGGAGAGCCCCGGGGAGCCAACAACGGCGAAAAGCCTCAGGACCCATTTCCCTCAGGACCCGCTTCCCCCATGGTGAGCGCCGCAACGAGCCCTGGAAGGCAAATCGATTAAAAACCGTCGGTCCAGAGAAGCAGAGAGTCGAAGATCTGAGATTGGGGCACTGGGCCCTGGCAGCGGCAAAAATAGAAAAAAAACGGGTTCCAAACATGTGAACAAAAACGGCTCCGGGATTGGAACCGGAACCGAAAACAACATCAGAGGCAACAGCGTGGAATGGGGATTCCCCGCTGCAGTGTCCCGGCGGAAAACCGCGGGTCACGCCCGGAAGCCGCGAGGAGGACATCCACTTCCACGCTCATATCCTCCCTGACGTCCACCACCTCATCCTCCTCCGTCCTCCGCAACAAGCACCTGCTCGTGCACCTTCTCAAGCAGCACCACCCTGGCATGCCCCTCCCCATCGTCCTCTTCCTCCTGGCTATCCTGGTCCTCCTCCTCCTCCTCCTCCTCCTCGTCCTGCTGCTGCTCCCCCTCCTCCTCATCCTGCTCCTCGTCCTGCTGCTCCTCCTCCTCCTCCCTTACCTCCTCCTCGTCCTCCTCCCCCTTCCACCTGCTCCTGCACCAGATCATGAATGAGACGCGGCAGGCTGCATGAATATGACGGCGCCGATGCACCTACATCCGCGGGCAGCTTGCAGTGAACGCGCAATCGATCCCCGCAGCACCGCCCCCCAACCTCAAACTAGGCGTCGCAACGGACCGTTTCTGTGAAAGCCTCGTCTCCCCCCTCAGGGGCGGTTGACCCACCCATCGCGCTCGCAGACCGTGGAGGCCTTGGATAAGGAATCCAGGGTCTGGAGCCTTGTGGAGATCCACTTGCGTGGAACGGGGGGGGGCAGAAGTTGTCCGCCCCCAATCATTGTGAGCTCTCTACCCTCCCTCCATCTCCTCTTCCTCCCCCCCTACTTCCTCCTCCCTCCCGCCTCCCTCCTCCCTCCCCCCTCACCCACCCTCCGCCTCAGATCCCCTGGAAAAGGACGGCAGGTGAGCGGTGCGGTTGCGGTTGCGCGCCCGCGGGCGGGTTGAAATGTGTCGCCCAGTTGCGATTGCGGTTGCGCGCCCGCGGGCGGGTTGAAATGTGTCGCCCAGTTGCGGTTGCGCGCCCGCGGGCGGGTTGAAACGTGTCGCCAGTTGAAATGTGTCGCCCAATTGCGGTTGCGGTTGCGCGCCCGCGGGCGGGTCCAAATGTGTCGCCCAGTTGCGGTTGCGCGCCCGCGGGCGAGTTGAAAAGTGTCGCCTAGGTGCGGTTGCGGTTGCGCGCCCGCGGGCGGGTTTGAAATGTGTCGCCCAGTAGCGGTTGAGGTTGCGCGCCCGCGGGCGGGTCGAAATGTGTCGCCCAGTTGCGGTTGCGGTTGCGCGCCTGCGGGCGGGTCAAAATATGTCGCCCAGGTGCGGTTGCGGCTGCGCGCCCGCGAGAGGGTTGAAATGTGTCGCCCAGTTGCGGTTGCGTGCCCGCGGGCGGGTTGAAATGAAACGGTTGCGGTTTCGACGTGTCGCCCGAAATGTGGTCGGTTGCGGTTGCGCGCCCGCGGGCGGGTCGAAATGTGTCTGTCGCCCAGTTGCGGTTGCTGTCGCCCAGTTGCGGTTGCGGTTGAGCGCCCGCGGAGGGGTTGAAATGTGTCGCCCAGGTGCGGTTGCGCGCCCGCGGGCGGGTTGAAATGTGTCGCCCAAGTTCGGTTGCGGCTGCGCGCCCGCGGGCGGGTTAAAATGTGTCGCCCAGTTGCGGTTGCGGTTGCGCGCCCGCGGACGGGTTGAAATGTGTCGCCCAGTTGCGACTGCGCGCCCGCGGGCGGTTTGAAATGTGTTGTTCAAGGTGCCCTCCTGACGTTCAGTCAGTCAATCAGTCAGTCAATCAGTCAGTCAGTCACCGGCGGGCACGGAATTTCACCCGGCTCCGCTGGAAAAAACGGAGATGGAACTTGGAAACATACGGCGCCGGATCCGGCAGGAAAACGGCTGAGCGGAACTGGTGCAAAAGCGGCCCTGGCATCTCCAGGGCGCCGAACACGGCCGTCTGCCGAGCAGTTCCGCCGACGACAAGGGCCGTTTGCACGGCGGCCTCCCCAGACATCCGACAACATGATTCTTTCAATGCGCGGCCCCAAAAGTCCAAACCCTTTCCTTGGGGCCAATTTTCCGCCCCGTAGCACGGGGGAAACGGGTCCTGAAGAAACGGGTCCTGGACCTGGGGGCCTTCCCCCGGGAGCAATTCTTCATGCTGAATCGTTCTCTCACAGTCCTGGGGCCCGTGGAGAGCCCCGGGGAGCTAAACACGGCGAAAAGCCTCAGGACCCATTTCCCAGGACCCGCTTCCCCCGTGGCGAGCGCCGCAACGAGCCCTGGAAGGCAAATCGATGAAAAACCGTCGGTCCAGAGAAGCAGAGAGTCGGAGATCTGAGACTGGGGCACTGGGCCCTGGCAGCGGCAGAAATAAAAAAACGGGTTCCAAACATGGGAACAAAAACGGCTCCGGGATTGGAACCGGAACCGAAAACAAAAAAACGGAGACGGAACTGGACGGCGCCGGATCCGGCAGGAAAACGGCTGAGCGGAACCGGTGCAAAAGCGGCCCTGGCATCTCCAGGGCCCACCGGGGTCTGGGCCGTCGCCGGCCGCTGCAAGCGGCAGCGGCGACCCGACGCGGCATCTCTAGGACGCCCGCGGCTGCGGCTGCAGCCGCTGGCGTTGCACGCGGCCCAGTGCCGCGCGCGTGGCCACGCCGAGGAGCGCCAACCAATCGGCACTCCCAGGACCAAACTCACGGGCAGCGAACGTCAGAGTGAGGGGGCTGAACCGAACGGTCATTCACTGCCCCTGGGTGCGTGGCTGAAGTGGAATTCCGCGATCTGGATTATTGTTGTTGTTGTTGTTGTTGTTGTTGTTGTTGTTGTTGTTGTTGTTGTTGTTGTTGTTGTGTTTGTTGTTTGTTGTTGTGTTTGTTGTTTGTTGTTGTCGTCGTCCCACCCGCGACCCGCCCCGCGACCTACCTCGCGACCCACCCCGCGACCCACCCGCGACCCACCCGCGACCCACCCCGCGACCCACCCAAAATTTTCGGCGCCTTCGGAGGGTTTCTTTTGCATTCGTTCCAGGTCTTTCCAGGTGGAGAACCTGCGACCCACCCGCGACCCAAACCGCGTTCAGTGTACAAATCAAAATTTTCGGCGCCTGCGGCGGGCTGTTTTTGAATTCCTTCCAGGCGGAGGTAAAGAGCCCGCGACCCACCCGCGACCCAAATTAATTACGTTCACTGAACAAGCCAAAACTTCGGCGCCTACGGCGGGTTTCTCTTGCATCGGCGACCCACCCGCGACCCACTGGCGACCCACCCCGAGACCCACCCGCGACCCACCCCGCGACCCACCCGCGACCCACCCGCAACCCACCCGCGACCCACCGCGACCCACCCGCGACTCATCCGCGGCCCACCCCGCGACCCACCCAAAATTTTCGGCGCCTGCGGCGGGCTTCTTTTGCATTCGTTCATTCGTTCCAAGCTTCTGTTGCATTCGTGAGAGCCACGAGGTCCGCCGGCTCGACGCCCGCGTCGCCCGCGCCCGCCCCCTCACTCTTATCCGCAATGGCGGGGTGCTACGTATCCATATCCACGCCCTCGCGATCTGGACTCTGGAATGCGATCCTGCGGATACGCGGTCGCAAAAATGCATTCCGCGCTGGTCATCCGCGAACGGATCGCCCCAGATCCGCGGGGTCGCGGCCCAGGGGCTTGGCCCGCAAGGCCGCGGACACTGATGTGTCGCCAACGAAGTACTAATCTCTTTCGTGGTTATGTTTCTGCTTCTGGGGGCCCTCGCCATGCCCCCAACCGTAGTAACAAAGGAGCTAGCCCTGTGAAGGGCCCTCCGGGCTTCTGGGGACCCCCCGTCTTGCAAAATTAAAAGGGGAGGCGGTCCAGTCTACGGAGGTGGCTCCCACGGGGACCAACCCGCCCCCACGTCCCTGGCCTGGAGATGGCGACCCTTGATTCCTGGGTGCCGCTCGCCACGGGGACCCACCCGCCCCGACGGCCCCAGCCTGGAGATGGCGACTCCTGGGTGCGGCCTTCAGATGGCGCAGATTGACTACTGGGCGCCACTCGCCATCAGGACCCACCCCTCCTTGAAATGCGCATGACCAGGCAAGTGATTCGTGCTTCCTGGCCCGTTGGCAACATGAGCTCTCGTGGTCCTGAAATGGCGACGTGGACTCGCTGGGCTCAGGCCCGCGTCCGCCTCATGGCCGTGCGGCCCGCGTCGAGCCGTGTCTGGCGCCGCGGCTGCGAGTCCCGCGCCTGGCCGCGGCGTTCGCGGCGTGCTCAGGCTCTTTGGGGCCAAGAGCGGGTCGGGGTCCCGCCCTAGCTGCCTGCTGCCGGCCTTCTCTCCAAAGAGAAGCAATGCTAGCCAGCGTGGGCCCCACACAGTGTGTTTCTAGCAATCGATGTTGCGCAACCTATGTGGAGCAATCCATGTGGTGCAATCTACGTGGTTCAACATCGGTTTATATATATATATATACTAGAACCATCGCGCGCGCTTCGCGCGCGCTCAAGTTCTAGCCAGGATCCTCACCATCGTCATCATCGCAATCATCACCATCGTAGTCATCGTCATGGTCGTGTTCACCATTACCATCACCAGCACAACCATCATCATCACCACCATCATCGTCAGCATCGTCAGCACCATCGTCATCATCGTCGTCGTCATCGTTGTCCTCACTATCATCGTCGTCGTCATCATCATCAGCATCATCATCGTCAGCATCAGCATCAGCATCAGCATCATCATCATCATCTTCGTCGGCGCCGTCGTTGTGCTCGTCATCCTCATCATCAGCGTCGTCGCCGTCATCATCATCGGTCTACTCCAGTCCCCTCCCCCTCCTCCTCATTTCCGTTCTATCTCTCCCCATCATCCTATCCTCTTGCTCCTCCTCCTCTTTCTTCTCCTCGATGCCGTCTCCCTGAAGTGGATCCCTGTTCATTCACCTCCTCCTCCTCCTCCCTGTCCTCCCCGCTCTCTTCAATATGTCCCTCCTTGTGTTCCTTCACCTCCTTCACCTCCTTCCTCCCCCCAGAACTCCACGAACGGTGCCAGGGACAGAAAAGCACGGCGTCCCTCCGCCTATCGCACACCTTTCACACGGCTCTGTTGGGAGAATTCGCCCAGCGTCTCCCCGCGTATTTCGACTCGCTCCGCACACAGCTTGTGCCCCGAAGGAAGCTGTTCCGACGGCCCCGGAAACAAGGGTCGCATCCTGCCGCCCCGCCCATGTCGGCACACCCCTGACATGGATCGTGAAGTAGGGGCGTCTTGGAGGCCTCTCAGGACGTGATTCCCAATGGTCTCTTGAAGTCTCTGCAAGGCCTCTTGGGGGCCTCTCGGCGTCTCTTGGGTGCCGCGGGAGCTGCTGGGGGCTTCTTGGGAGCGTCCTTTGGGGGACCGTCTTGGGGCTCCCTGCGCCGGCGACGCAGGGAATGAAACCTGGGATCGCTATTGACATGATGGCCGCGCACGGCAATGAGGACAGAGACCTGGTCCTCGAACCGACGACGACAGCGACTGCGATGGCGACGGCGAGGAGACACCCCAGGCTGCAGAGGAAGAGGGTGGTCAGGGAGTGGGCGTCGGCACCGAGATCAGCTAAGTAGACATGGGCTGTCCCGACGGAGGAGGACGAGGAGGCCACAGAAACACCCATCCTTTCAAAGCTAACATGTGCACGCTAAGCTCGCACCCTCGGCCCCAACTAACACCACACGCGCAGTTCGAGCGCGCTGAGGTTCCAGCAGCCCCCATCCTCTCAAAGCTAACATGTGCACGCGTGCACGTAACCACCAATGGCAGGAGCATGAACTGGAGAGGTAACAATGGCGCAGACCGAACAGGGCCGTAGTACACACGAGGGCGCACACAGACGTATCGAATGCAACGCCATGCAGACCAATGCGAGTAGTAAAACAAACGCCAAACGTTGCAAATGCAGCGCGATTCACAGCATTATTGTTGAATTGAAATGCAATGCACATGCTACTCAATGCAGGCAGCTCAACGGAACGGATCGGAAGGAAGAAGGGGTGCATATGAAAGTGTCCGAAATCGCATGGGGCTCGTTTCGGTGCCTGCTCGGGGGCTCTTGGGGGCCTCCCGGGGGGCTCTTGGGGGCCTTTGGGAGCCTCTAGTGGTTTCTGGGGATGCTCTTGGGGCCGAGGGCCCGTAAAGTGCGCTCGGATCCCGCGTCTGGGCCCCTTCTTGGAGCCGTGTTGGGACTCTCTTGGGCCGTCTTCGAGGCCTCTTAAGCGGTCCCGGGGCGCTCTTGGGCCGTCTTGGGGCCGTCTTGGTGGCCTCTTGGGCCGTCTTGGGGCGATCTTGGGTGCCTCTTGGCCGTCTTGGAGCGCCAGGGAGCCCAAAAGGAGAGAAAGCCAAAAACATCGAAAAACACAATGGAAAATCAACGATTCGAGCCTCTTGGGGCCCTCTTGGAGAGCCTCTTGGAGGCCTCTTGGGGCGTCTTGGAGGCCCCTTGGGCCGTCTTGGGACCATCTTGGGCGTCTTGGAGCGATCTGGGACCGCCTCGGGGCCCTCTTGGACCATCCTGGGGGCCTCCTGGGGCCGTCTTGGAGGCCTCTTGGGTCGTCTGGAGGCTCCTTGGAGGCTCCTTGGAGGCCCCGGGGAGGGGGTATTAAAAAGCGTTCCCCGATGGTTGCGGAGTGGGCGGCCCCGCCGGGGGGGGGGGGGCCTATTTGTTTATATTATATATATATATATTATATATATATATATATATATATACATCTGTACATACATACATACATACATACATACATACATACATACATACATACATACATACATACATATACATACATACATACATACATACATACATACATACATACATACATACATACATACATACATACATACATACATACATACATACATACATACATACATACATACTTGCATGCATGCATGCATGCATGCATGCATGCATACATACATACATATATATATATATATATAGGTGTTGCGCACTTTGCTTGTTGTTGCTTTGCTCATTATTTCCGGACCTGCAACTGCTGATGGCCTCTCCGCCGCGCCCCGCGCCGCGGTGCCGCGGCTGGGCTGCGGCCTCACAGGAAGGCGCGCCACCGCAGCGGCGGCGGCCGCGCCCAGCCCTGTGCCCCGCGCGCCCGCCAGGCGAGCGGGGGTCGCACGGCGAGCGTCAGCGCGGCCGCGCCCAGACCGCCTTGTTTGGCAAGCTGCGGGATATTCTGAGGAACCTCGACGGACCGCGCGAGCTGCGTGAGCTGAGAGGCCACGCCCTTCGTGGAGGCCTGCGAGCCCCCCTCCTTCTCGTCCCCGTCGCCCGAGCCCTTCAGCCTCGCCTCGCAGAGCACGCGGTGCTTGCGCCCGGCGCACTCCACCCGGCTGGAGCACATGGGGTGCCGGTGCATCTCCAGCTTGCCATTCTCGATGGTCGCCAGGGTGCGCGGCATGCAGTCCTCCTGGCCCTTCGGGCTGCACAGGGACCAGCACTTCTCCGTCGCCTGCAGCACCCCCGGGCGCAGGTCCTCACACAAGGGCACCTGCTCGCGAGGGAACCTCTCGTAGCCGCGGAAGCGAGCGTCGGGGTCGGGGATCGGCGGCTGGGGGTGCCACGCCCCGAACTCGTGGAAGGCCGCGGGGACCGCGCCTGGGGAAACCAGCAGGTACCGATGCCGCTACGCCCCGGACCTCTCCCAGGGTGCGTTCTGCCCAGCATTTCGAAGCGAATCCAGCGGCGGCGACAAGGGCCTCCGAGGAGGCCCAACAAGGCGAGAACGCGGGACAGGTAGCGGTACGGGTACCTTTTCCTCCTCCGAGCTCCGTGCGCAGGCATCGGCGCCAGCGGTGGGGACCCTCCGACGCGGGGGCGGAGCGCGGGGGTGAGCCGAGGGGCCGCGGGGCCGCGGCCGCGAGGCCGCGGCCTTGGCCGCGCAGGCAGGGCCAGGGGGTCCTCGGCGCCCTGCTTCTCTGGAGCCGCACCGGCTACGGAAGCCATGTAGGGCAATCTATGTGGTGCTATCTATGCCGTGCCATCTACGGGTACACAGTCTATGTGGTGCAGTCGATGTCGTGCATGATGTGGTGCAATCTATGTTGTGCAATCACTGTATGCGCCTTATGTGGTACAGTCAACGTGTTGCAGTACGTGTTCCCCAAACAGTGCTTGCACTTAGGTGTTCTCAGTTGTTTGTCTACAGGACTTGATCCTGGGTGGCGGTCTGGCGGCTGTTGTCGCCGTGGCTGCCCCGTCGCCGGCTAAATTGCACAACGTGGATTGCACCACATAGATTGTATCGCATAGGTTGCACCACAAAGGTTGTATATTGTACCACATATTGCATACGTCGATTGCAACAAGTGGATTGCATCACATTTATGGCACAACATATATTGCACCACACACAAGTTGCACCATGTCGAGCGTACCATATATATAAACATATTGCGGTCCACAAAATTTGCATTACGTACATTGCACCACATACATGTCCCCGAATAGTTTGCTCCACAAATATTAAAGCATAGATCGCACAACACAAATTTTATACCATGTAGTGCACAATGCGAATCGCACCACGCCGAGTGGTCTCCACCTTCGTTGCATGACATGGGTTGCTAGAACACACTGTTAACCAACGTGGACCCCAAACAATGTCTCTAGCAATCATTACGTGTTGTGTTATTCAGATGAAGCAATGTGTGTCGTGCACTCCATGTGATGCAAGAGATGTGGTGCAGCACATATGGTGCGATGTGTGTGGTGTTATCTAGGTTGTGCATCATATGTGTTGCAAGGTGTGCAAAACATATGGTAAAACCTATGTGCAAACTATGCGGTGCACAATCTATGTGGTACACTCGACATGGTGCAATGGGTGGGGTGCAATCTATGTCGTGCCATATGTGTGCTGCAACATATGTGGTGCGATGGTCGTGGTGGCATCTATGTGGTGCAATCTATATGGTGCAATTCGCCCTGCAGAACTTGTAATTGTCAACTCCACTGCTCGCGCAATCCTTCCACCCACCCACTGATGATCTGACATGACCCCCCCAACCCCGACGGCGGCACCCGCGGGTATCCCTGGCAGATGGGGTGCCGGGACAGGGGGTCCTCGAGGCTGGCGCTCGAGCGTGGCCCGTTCCTCCAAATCCCGCTCTGGCTCGACTTTCTCGGGACACCGGCCCCTGACCTCGACCACTATCCCGGGACGCGTTCTTCATCCTGGGCCATTTTCTTGACGGTCCAGAGGCCCGGACCGAAGACGAGGCGGGAGCTCCGTCTCGGGGTTCTGAAACACGGGCGCTGCCCCCTGGTTGGCCTGTCCTCGTAGCAGCTGTTCACCACCGCCCGCGGGTTCTTCGCACGCCTGCCCCTCGACGGCAGGGCCTCCTCCAGCTCCTGCGGGGGCGGGGCGCACTAGGACGGGGTGGGCGGCCCCCGGGGAGCCCATCGAGGCTCCAGGTCCGTCATGGCGGGGTGGCCGAGGCTACGGCAAAATGCAGCGAGGCCATGCTGCGATTGCACCAAGCCGGGGCCAAGCTGTACGAAATTAAACTCTCCTGTTCTTGGGTGCACCCAGCCCGGTTGAGCGTGCTTCAGTCGAGGGCTCTCCCTCTCGACAACATGAGCCAAGGACGCAGACGGAAGGAGACATGGGGCCAGCAAGGGTTTATGATGCAACCTCCCACCATCACTCATCCCACCAGTCCCATCAAGCAACGACGCCGCGCAATGGGCCAGCTGAAGGCCGGGGTAGGTGGGGCGGGGGGGGAGGGGGCGAGGGGCGAGGGGGACAAGGGTGTTTGATACCCACTCGACGGAGAGAGAAAGAAGCACTTGGGAGCACTGTTGTGGCCTGGGCCTCGGCCGAACTGTGCGTCCATCGCTGCAGCCCTCGGGAGCGTGCCAGTCAAAGGGAAGCGGCCAGCGATACGAGGGGGAGAGGTGGAGGATGACCGCGAGTGCGCGGGAGGACTTCCTGTCCGAGGCTGGATTATACCCATGTCCACCGCCTGTGCACCCGATCACCCTGGATCTGGAGAGGCAGCGGAGAGGGGTACGTTCGGGCCCCCTCTGAGGCGTACCCGCCGCCCCTGTGGGGTCCCAAGACGTCGGTGCCCGCGGCGGTGGACACAGATACGTCCGCTCCTCGCGTCATGATCGACCACGCCCTCTCGGAGAGGTTTCGCAGGGGCCGCAGGGCAACTGGAGGGACCCGCCCGCCTGCAGGAACGCGTCCATGTCGCCCGCCCGCATGAAGATCGGGCCTCCGCCGTAGCTTCCTGGGAGAGGTGCCGTAGGAGGAGGAGGCAGACTGGTCCGACCGTGAGAAAGAGCTCGGGGAAACGCCCCGAGATTGCTTTCGGGTCATGACTTCAATCTCTGGCGGCCGTTCGGGACGATTCCGGCACCCCCGGAACGCTCTCGGCGAGGCGCAGCCGCTGGAAGCAAAAGATCCCAAAGTCGAACCGACAAGCCGGATCGGCGGTCGGACTGAATCGGATCGGCGAAACGAAAGTCGGCAACCAAATCGGCAGAAATCGAATCGGCGGAAACCGGCAGGCTAGTGAGGCCTCCATGAAGAAACCGAGATCCAGATCGGAATCCGAGGTCGAATCGAATCAGCATCGGAATCGATCGACATCGAATCGAATCGAGTTGGAGAAGTCAAGATGAGCCGCTGGATGGCATCCCGAGGCTGGAAAGCCGACGAGAACCTGTGAGACCGCCAGAAAGCCAGACGCACCGAGATTCTCACAAGGGGAGTCCAAAGACGTCTGCCCATGGGTGCGCCAGATCTTCACGAGCGCGTTATTGTACGATTCGCGATAACGGCCGTTACCAAGGATGCTGCCCCCCCCTCCCCTCCCCGCCTGGTATCGCCACAATTCGCGCCAACGCCGTTTGGGAATTGCAAGGTGACGGCGCGAATCGTGACATTACCGGCCCCTTGGCGCCCCCTCCCCTGGCCCCCCCCGTCCGCCAACGGCCGTTATCGCAAGGAGATAGAAAGACGGCCCCCAACGTAGAACGCCAACCCAAGAAGGCAAGCCGAGCCAGACGCCCGACTGGCGTTTCTGCACTGCCGCCAGGTGGCAAGCTGTCCTGGCGCATCGTTATCAGCGACGCCAGTGCTTTGGGTAGATGTCGAAATCAGATGCCAGGAGCGCTTGCCACACGAAAGCTGAGAGCTCTCAAGCGAGTGAGATGTCAAGAAAACACAGTACATAGCGTGGTCGCGAGTGGCGCAGCTCTTCCCTGAAATCCATCCGAATCCACTCGCCGCATCCTCCACGGCCGCGTCGACGCGGAAATCCGAACAATGTGGGCCGCAAGCGCCTGCTCGTGCGTGCACCTTGGCGGAAACAAACACCTCGCCCTCCCGCGAAGACACGTGATGACACGAAGGACCCGCCCGTGACGACCAGATGCAACGCTGCATGATGACGCCCTCGAGGGAGTGGGTTGGCGGCGCGCACAAAGGGGTAGGGGGAGGGGGGAAGGCTTCTTAGAAGGAGGCTGCTTCTTAGAAGGCGCCTGCCCTACATCTGTACACCCTGCGATATGCTTAAGAAATCATGGGTTAAGAAATTCATAGTCTCAGAATTTGAATAGAAACCCAGAACTTCGATTAGAATCATAGGATTTACATTGAAACATTAAGAATAATCGAGACTCTGGCCGAAAACGTAAGTTTTCTTAAGCATCGCCTAGGGTGTAGATGCTAAGGCCGCGCCTTCTAAGAAGCACCGGTGTTTCTAAGAAGCCTTCCCCCCCCCCCACCCTCTGCGCGTGGCCGAGTGGGGGCGCTGCGCGGGGGCGCGGCGCTGTCCCGAGGCGTGCTCCCGGAACAGCGCCGGGATCCCTGGCTCCAGCCCCTCCGCGCTGCCTCGGCGCGCGCGCGCGCGTGCGTGCGGCGGGCCCCGCGAAAGGCGGCGCCGGCACAGCATTCCAGAAGGACGATGATCGTGTTGGGAGGAAGGGGTTGGGAAGATGCATGGGGCGACTGTGTACTATAGCCAGCATACGCGATGATGCAGATGATCTGGCTATTTCTCCCAACCCCATGCTCCAAACCCGTTAATTTTCACCCTGAGCGTGATGCAAAGAACACACTGCATAAACATAAGTTGTCGACGGTCCGCGCGGACGCGCCAGGGAGGGGGGCCCAGCGCCGATCCAAGAAATCCGTGCGGACCGTCGACAAAATCATGCTCCAAGGACGAGGATGATGTTATTATAAGGTGATGTCTAGCTGCCCTCGCTTCTGCAGCCCGTGTGGAGCATCCGGGGATCTTGGGAAAAGCACTAGAAATCTTGGAACGTATTATTCCCCACATGTTTCGTGGGGTTCTGGTTTTCTTCCCTGCCGCGGCGCACCCGCGTCTCCTCCTCCTCACCCTCCTCCCCTCCTCCCTCCCCCTCTTCCTCTCCTCACCCGCGCTCAACACATGCACGGCAAGTGCGTGAGACACGCGTCTACATACAGCCGCACGCATGCACACACTCGCACACACAACACACACACACACCATACAACGCTAGTGCGCGTCGGATACGTGGCAGGCGCAGCAGTTTCTCGACACCACAGGGGGTGCGCAGGGGGTGGTCTCTCAGTGCGGTCTCTATCCGTCGCACGCTCGCAAAGCACGGCAGGCGTAGCAGTTCCTCGACACCAGGGGGGTGCGCAGGGGGTGCGGTCTCTATCCGTCGCACGCTCGCAAAGCGCGGCAGGCGTTGTTATCGACGCGAGAGGGGGTGCGCAGGGGGTGCGGTCTCTTTCCGTCGCACGCTCGCAAAGCGCGGCGGGCGTGGCAGTTCCTCGACACCAGAGGGGGGGCGCAGGGTGTGCGGTCTGTATCCGTCGCACGCTCGCAAGGCACGGCAGGCGTAGCAGTTCCTCGACACCAGGGGGGGTGCGCAGGGGGTGCGGTTTCTATCCGTCGCACGCTCGCAAAGCGCGGCAGGCGTGGTAGTTCATCGACACGAGAGGGGGTGCGCAGGGGGTGCGGTCTCTATCCGTCGCACGCTCGCAAAGCGCGGCAGGCGTGGCAGTTCCTCGACACCAGAGGGGGGGCGCAGGGGGTGGTCACCCTATGCGTGCCAGGGTCGTCCAGGCATAGCAGGCGTGGCATTTTCTCGACACCAGAGGGGGTGCGCAGGGGGTGGCCCCCCTATGCGTGCCAGGGTCGTCCAGGCATAGCAGGCGTGGCATTTTCTCGACACCAGAGGGGGTGCGCAGGGGGTGGTCCCCCTATGCGTGCCAGGGTCGTCCAGGCATAGCAGGCGTGGCATTTTCTCGACACCAGAGGGGGTGCGCAGGGGGTGGTCTCCCTATGCGTGCCAGGGTCGTCCAGGCATAGCAGGCGTGGCATTTTCTCGACACCAGAAGGGGTGCGCAAGGGGGTGGTCTCCCTATGCGTGCCAGGGCCGTCCAGGCATAGCCTCTAGTGCGGGATTGCGTATTACCTCTCGTATCCAAGTGCCAGGCGACGCCGGATATGACCGTCACAGATGACTCCTCAACCCCTCCTCTCCCCCCACACGTCCTCCCCCTCCTTTCAACGACTACAGGGGGCACCTGAGAGCATGACGGCGGTGGTAGTGGTAGCGCGGTTCACACAAGACATAAAATCAGTATGTGGGGTTCCTCGGTAGCGTAATTATCATGACCTCTTGCTCCTCGGAGTGCAGGCAATTCTTCCTCTTTCTCGAAGCATGCAGGCGCACCGGGGGGCGCAGTGCTTCTCACCGTGTTCGGCCTCTCGGGGCCGTCGGGGAGTGGTCGAGAGGCCGGGGCCCGTGTCGATCGAGGCGCGCCATTCCCGGGAGCCCGAGGAGCGCAGAAGCAGGAACGACGGGGCCCACGTCTGGCCAGGGCGGGCCTCGGTCACGGATGGGTTCCCCGAACACGGGTCCGAGGAGCGGCCCAGAGACCACAGCCCCTGCTGAGCCCAGGGAGGTCCTTACAGGCAACCCGTATCACAGGGATGCGCGGCAGGGGTGCCAGGGCCTTGGAAGGCCGTTTCGAAGCTTTTCGAGCGGGGCGCGGCCAACGAAGGAGGCCGAGGATGGACCGAGGGGCAAGGATGCAGGTGTACCCTTGGGAATGTTGCCCATCCTTACTATGCGGGTTGAGTGTATGTCAACGTCTTGGCTGCACTCCGAGCGTATGGGGGTCGGGCGCCTGGCCAATAACATCCTGGCGTCGCGTGTTCTCACGCCAGGCGCTGTCGCTACAGATCGTGCCGCAAGAAGATATAGTGTCTGGCGCTCTGGTCATGTTTCTTCCCCAATAGTGTTGCGCTAAAGGGGTCCAGGACCACAGAGAGGTCCCACAAAGGGGGACGGGGAGCCTTAGATCGCCCGGTCTGGCAGCCGCTTCGCTTGGGACTCCGTCATACTTTATTCAAAAACCGTGCTCTCGCCGAAATGCCGGCAACATTTTTGGTCCGGACGGCCATGATCCTATTGAACAAAAAATACTCAAGGGCACATGGTCGGCTTTGCTGCTATTCAGGTGTTTTGCTTGCGTATGTTTTGCTCCAAGCGCTGTCGCCCCAGCTAGGTCGTCCCAGCTCGAGGGATTCCGCAGGAAGTCACGGTCTCGGCCCCTGTCATGGTATTTGACGATTTTTTCTCGCGACGTCGGATCTCATCGACGTCGTATCTCAAGGGGGGGGGGGGGCGTTTGGTGGGGATGCTCTCGAAAAGAACTGGGAGACTATTTTCTGAAGGCCTTCGGAAGCGTCGGGGAGGTCTGCGAAGGATTCCAGGGGGCTTCTGGAGGCCACTCAATCCGAGGCTCTGGGTAGGTTCGGAGGTGTTTGGGGTACCTCTGGGTGTCTGCGGAATGCTTGTTAAAGGTTTCGGGGCATGGTGAGGAAGGCTGCAGACGTTGCCCCAGGTTTCCAGAGTCTTCTGTAGGAGGAGGGGGAAGGAGGTGGAGAGGGGTAGGATCAGAGGGAAAGAGGAGGAGAGCGAGCAACAGGAGGGGAGGAACAAGTCAGGATGGCGTTCAATTTGAAATTTAGCTTTAGAATGCTGAATACGGTCTGGGCCCGGTGCTACACACATTGACAGAACAAAGAAGGCCAATGGCGAAGATGAATACGAGAGGGATGAACACGGAAAATAAAAAAGGATGATCGTATTTTCGGCGGCCTTATTGAAGGACTGGGGTCCCACCACTAGGATGTAACTAATTATCTATCCCGCGGCGGAGGGGAGGACAAGGAGGAGGAGGAGCAGGAGGAGGAGCAGTAGGAGGAGGGGGAGAGGGGGGAGGAGGAGGAAGATTTCAGGACCAGTCATATTCACCAACGAATGAAAAGAGATATCAAAACTAAAAACCTCCTGAGGTTATGCTCTGATGATGCCCCCCTGGATTTTGGCGTCCTTGTGGGGGGCGGCGATATCAGATCACATTATGTTAAAGAACACAGTGATATGATATAATATGGAACGGTCGTTCGTTGTCCCTGGGTTGTGGCTGAAATGGAACTCTGCAGCGCAGACTCTGCCGCCCAGCGCCGACTCTGCAGCGCGGACTCTGCTGCTGCTGCTGGCTGTCGTCGTCCCGCCCGCGACCCGCCCGCGACCCGCCCAGCGACCCGCCCGCGACCCACCTCCCGCGGCCCATCCACGACCCACCACGCGACCCACCGACGACCCACCCGCCGCGACCCGCCTGCCGGTGCTTCGGGATTCACCACGCAGTCCCAAACGCGGCTGGGAATGGCATTCTGCACGCATCATACATGGTGGCAGTATGCATTTGATATAAGGCCTGGGCCCAAATGCCAAAATCATAACGCATAAAACGTTTCTTCCCCTTTGCCGGGCAGGACCTATCTGCGCGTCGCGACCCACCAACGACCCACCCGAGACCCGTCGGCGACGCAACCCACCCGCGACCGACCCGCGCCGCGACCCGCCCGCGCCTCGACCCGTCCGCGCCGCGGCCCACCCGCTGGGACGACGACAGCAACGACAACAAGCAGAACCCTCACTGCGGATCCCCGCTTCAGCCACCCGCCCACGGCGGACACTGTAAGACCGCTCGCCCCCTCACTCTGATTATCGCAACTTCTGACGGCTTGAATGACATCATTACTGTATACGTCAGTACTGTATTATCATGACCTTGAAGATGATGACATTACATAGCATGGCGTACTATAGTAGCATACGACAGAAAATGCGAATTTGTACTATGGTACACTGGTATATCATGCCAAGATTAGGGGTCCACATCCAGGAGGTCACCATCAGAGCATATAGGATTGAAAGGGAGTGGGGAGAATGAGAAACCAAGATGATGAGGAAAAAAACCAATTGGCCACCACACCGGGGCAATCCGCCACTCCCGCTTGCTTTGGGTGAAAAGGCGCGTGCTATAATTGGCTGTTCCCTTCCCCCTTTCCCCCACCCCTGGGGCAAACAATCGCATTGGATTGGGGGGGTGGGAGCCCACGAGCTCCCCAGTGCGTCTTCCAGAACAAGAGCGCCCCAGGACAGGCCCAGACGAACTCCAAGGCAGTTTAAGAAAAAGTCGAGACGGCCCAAGGCCCAAGGTAGCCCCTCGACGGTCCAATATGGCTTCCAAACGGTCCCGAAGCTATTAGGACAGCCCACGAAAGCTCGCCGAGGACCCCAATGGGCCCTCACAGGCAAGAATCTCCCAATTCCCTTCGGGAATCGTGCGCGTTTAGCAAAATCGTTTCTTTTATTTTGCCAGCGTTTACAACGGCTCAAGGGGCCCACGAAGTCGCCCCATGACGGCCCCGAAATCCGTCAACCGCCCCAACACAACCCAAAAAGGCTCAAAGACAGCCCGCGAGGGTCCACTGGACGGCCTACTGGGACCCAAACAAGAGTTCGAGAGGG